TTAAATTTCTCAATTTTTACTTTTGCTCTAGACATTATTGCAAAGTTTTAGCTCTGATACCAATTATTGTAATTGGTGATGCAGCAGAAGTGGATCGCAACTTTGCAATTAAATTGGGAGCTATAGAAACCGCAGAGAAATAAAACGAGGAACAATAAAAAGAACATAAGAAATTTACGTGGTTCGGTCCGAATGTTAGAACCTATGTCTAAGGAAAGAGCCAACAAATGATCAATTAATAAATCTGAGAATTATAGGGGCTAACAGTTACTTAAACGCTCGAGTGTTTCCCAACCCTAATTTATACTCAACTCGATAGAGTTGACTCTACGCACAAATCTCTTTGAGCTCTTGTCTCTCTGTCTCTTGAGCTCACTCTTCACTCTACCTCGTTGGTCTTTATACGTCCTTTCCTTTTATATGAGAAAAGGAAGGAAACAGGACAAAAATAGACTCAATAAAAAGGCAACAACGGTGCCCACGGGACATATCTCTTAAGCGACAGTGGCGCCCTCCAATTTTCGTGGACATCCATTTAAAGAGGGAGAAAAAATGGCACTCAGCTCCTTAAATGATAGAGGGACAAAGCAGGAGCTATGTGCAGGCATTAACAAAAGAGAGAAAAAAAGTCCATATTTGCATGCTTCCCAGGTGGAGAGGACATTCAGGGTTTTCTTCTTCATTTAATGTTTGCCCGCTCAACATAGTGCATTTTGCGTGTGACTTTGAACATAAATGTTCCACGTATGGGTCGAGTTTTGTCTATGGGCTCAAACTCAAGACATAATTTAATGATTCTCCACCTTGGCTCAATGTTTGGAGCTAAGTCATGGTGCTCGTCATCCATATCAACTCTCCAACGCCCTGACGGGTGCTCATACTTTACAGACGTCAATCGAGCTCCAGTAGAGCTGGAGATTTGCCAAAGGAACGGGCTTCATCATCATGTTTGCAGGGTTCTCCGGTGTTGCTATTTTCTTCACAACAATCTTCTCTTTTGCTATGACATCTCGCATGAAATGGTACCTAATGTTGATGTGCTTCGTTCTCTTGTGATATATCGGATTATAAGCCAGATATATCGCACTTTGGTTGTCACAGTGTATAATGACACTTTTTTGCTGCAATCCAAGGTCCGAAAGCAAATCCCTGAGCCATATCACCTCCTTCGATATAAATGTTAGTGTCATTTGTTGTGCCTTGATTGAAGACAAGGTAACATCATCCTGTAAGTACGCCTTCAACTTACTGCACCACCTACTTGCGTAAACACGCATCTCGCTAATGATTTGCAGTCATCCAAGTTACCGATGTGATCTAAATCCACATATCTTGTGGTCTCATTGCCATTACCATCCTTCTGATATACTATGCAACGTTTACTGTCCCTTTTAAGTATATGAGGATCCATTTTGCAATTTCCGAATAAGTGTTACCTGGACATTTCATTTAACGAATGACAACGCTTGCAATTTGTGAAATATCAAGCCAAGTGTATACCATGGTGTACATAATACTACTTACTACATTAGTATAAAGAACACGAGACATATGATCTTCATTCTCCTCAGTCTGCTGTGATAACTTATTTGAAAGTTTAAAGTGTGCTGCTTAAGGTGTACTTACAAATTTTGCTTATTGCATATTAAAACGCGCCACAATCTTCTCAATATATTATTTTTGAGATATGCGCACCATTCCTACAGCCTTGTCACGCAAAATCTTTATACCCAATATTTTCATAGCAGCACCTAAATCTTTCATTTTAAACTTAGCACTTAGTTACTGCTTCAGCACATTAATATTAGACCTATGTTTAGTTTTTATTAAAATATCATCAACATATAATAACAAATAAAATCAAAGACTCATCCTCCAATCTCCTCTAATAAACACGGCTATAAAACTAGTTTTTCAATTAGTATTTACTAGTTACAAAACAATCAAAATGCTTATACCACTATCTAGGAAACTGTTTCAACCTATACAAAGATTTCTTTACTAAGCAAATATGGTCTCTTGAAATAGCAAATCCCTCCGGCTGCCTCATGTAAGTTTGTTCCTCCAACTCACCATGAAGAAACGCTATTTTCACATCCAGCCACTCCAACTCGAGATCCTTTGCAACAACTAAGGCAAGTAATACACGAATGAGGCATGTCTTATCACATGAGAGAACACCTCATTGTACTTGATGCCCTTTCATTGAGTACACCCCTTTGCAACAAGTCTTGCCTCGAATGTGGTTGCCTTAACATCAGTAATGCCTTCCTTCCGTTTGTAGACCCATGAGCATCTGATAATCTTCTGGCTTTTGGGTACTTTGACCAGCTCCTATGTCTAATTCCGACAAAGTGATTCCATTTCTTCACTTATAGCCTCTAGCCACTCCAACGACTCAGCACTAGCCATCGCCTCAAAATATAAGGAAGGCTAATTTGTTTCCACTTCATCATCTACATTCAATGCATAGGCGATATTAGAATAACCATAACGTACCAATAGTTTGTTTGTCCTTCTCTGTTTGCCCGTGGCTATATTGTGCTGTGGCTCTAATGAGTGTTTTGTATCACCGTCTTTGGGAACTGTGGCCTCATCCGCAATCTCTTCCTTAGTTATCTTTGAGGTCTCCGAAGGCTCCACCTTACTACTGACACCATAATTCGATTTCCCTGCCGGTTGTGTCTCAAGACCCCTCTTTCGAAGCATAGCACTCTTGTTGAAGATCATGTCTCTACTAATTAGAATACCAGGAGATCTGGGATCAGTGCACTACAGCCAGTAACCTTTCACTCCTTGTGCATCACCCATAAATATGTACTTCTTCGTTCTCAACTCAAGTTTACCATCACTCGCATGAGCATACGCAGGCATCCAGATATCCGTAATCTGAAGTAGTCAATAGGTTTTCCCGACCATATTTCCTAAAGAGGCTTCCACTCGATAGCAGATAATTGAGATTGATTAGAAAGATAACAGGCCATGTTCACTGTTTCAGTCCAAAATTCTTACTTGGTCCTACATGCGAAATAAATGTTCCATGTTTGGATTGGGTCTTGTATACGCGCTCAAACTCAAGAAATAATTTAACACCATCATCTAAGCTAACGAGAGTTCGAGGAAGTGATTGGTTATCAACTGCTACTGCACACTCTCTTCCCATGTTTTTATTTTCTCATTTATTCAACTTTTCTCTTTTATAGTTTCTTATAAATATTAATTTTGTTATTTTCCTAGTTTTTTTTAAACCATATAACATGTTATCGTGATATTTGACGAGAATTCTTTACAAAAGCTGCACAAATTTTCTTATGAGGGGTAATATTTGCTCAACTTTTAAATCTTACATAAAAAGACACCAATTTTCACCCGAAAACAATTTTGGCCAAAACTTTCAAATTCCACATGAAAAGATATAAACTTTTACTAAAGAGACAATTTTTGTCATCGTTAGAATTTCTGTCAAAATGTATGTACGTGAGATCTTGAGGTGGCAAATGAACGCTCATATGGCAAATAATGAATGCCCATGTCAGCAAATTGGCATCCATGGACAATTAAAACGATGGTGGCTTTAACATATAATGGAAATGACATTGTTTTTTAACTCAAATATTAGGGCTTCAAATCAGATTGAGATTTGAAAAAAAAAATCAGATTGAGAGAATGGTTACACGAATTGGGGCTTGGGTACCTCACAAAATCATAGCACATTCACCAAACTTTCCTAAATATGCCTCCTTTTATCTCGCTATACGCTAATCCCAAGGCCTAATTTGTGACTCTAGCTTACCTTCAATTCAGTTGAAAACGGCATTGTGTTTTTCATTATATGTGGAGGATGATGCCGTTTTATTATTTATGAAAGCCAGGTTATGGTACTCGTGTAATCATGTCAGCGTCCGTTTGCCCACCTAAGACGTCGCCTACGCACATTCTAACGAAAATTCTAAGGGTGGTCAACATTGTCCCATCCGACCAAAGTTTTTGCCTTCGTATGCAACACTTAAAAGTCGGAGCTACCCCGAGCGAAATTCTATGCCTTTTATTGTATGAAAAATCCCATTTAACGGTTACTACCTTAAGGCTGCGTTTAGTCGATCGGATAAAAGTCAGGATAGGATATGTTTTATCCTATCCTGTGTTTGGTGTTGGTCCAGGATAGGATAAGGTCGGATATAAACCGGATATAGCTCGGATAAAAAAATCCGAGGAGAGGTGGGATAGACCTGGATAGGATTTCTAATACCTATGTTTCCAGAAACCCTACGCTCCACTCGCCGTCATCTTCATCCCCACACTTTGTGCGCTTTCACCAAAAAAATTTCTCGGCTTTTTTTCCTTCACCGACTCCTCCGGACCCGTGAATAGCAACAAAAAAAAAATTATCCTATCCGACTTTAAATCCGTAGTCCACCAAACAGTGGATAGGATATGAAGAAATCCCAGGATTTCTTATCCTATCCTATCCAGTCCTATTCTATTTAGAAATCCGGACAACCAAACGCAGCCTAAGAGAATTTCGTGATTTGCTAGTATTACTCATCGCACAACACAAGAACATATCTAGGATATTGCTTACGAGAAAGGAAAATGGACAAAAATTTACTGAATCAACTGATCATTCCTAATTAATTATAAGAGATATCCGGTACGTCACATATTATATATACTACCCAAAAAGCAAAAAGCAAATAATTCCTGATATTTCTTTTTACGGTGTTCCATTAACCTAAGCCCAAAAAAACAAGGAAGACTTTCACAAAAAAATGTCAAAGCAAGATGACCATCGATCACAACGGCTAAGACTTTTCTTTTCGTGGGCCGACCACGGTTCCTTTAAATCATCTCCATTCCATTCGAGGAGACAGACGGGGGGAGCTCCACTTCAACGTGGTCGGACCGGACGGCGAACGAGCGCGCGCCACGTGTCGGGCTCTTCCAGACAGTTGGTTTTGGACGAGTACGCCCGCTGTCTGTCTGTCTGTCTGTCTCTCTCTCTCTCACTGCAATCACAGCGCTTCTTGAAAATCCCAACGCCCGCACGCTCCGACAAACACTCTGTCACTCTCTCTCTCTCTCTCTCTCTCTCTCTCCTCATCGTTGCGCCGGCGTGGCTCGATCATTGATGCTTGCCGCCTCTCGATGTTGAGCTCCTCAGCGGCTGCTGCGTCTTCCCCGAGCAAGGTGGCGGCGACGACCACGGCGGCGGCGGCGGCGATGGCGAGGGCGAGCCCTCTGACGTCGATCTCCGTCGCGGCTTCTCTCGATCGCCGTCGCGGCTTCCGATTCGCCTTCCCTCGTTACCGCCCCGCGCTCGGTGGAGCGGGATCCTACTCTGCCGCGACCTGCGGGGGACCGTCTCGGTATCGTCCCCTGCGCGTTTCGTGCCAATCCAAGGTAATTCTGTCCCCGGGTTGCTCTGTCTTTGTTTCTCTCTCTTCTGTACGCTCGGCGATCGTCTCGTGAGACGATCGATCTGTTGTTGAAGAGTGTTCTTCCGCACAAACACGACGGGAATCTCTCGAGTTTGGGCTTTCTCTTCTCCTGTTATCGCTGTGATCATGAAATATTATACTTAAAATGCAAGATCACGATGTTTCGACTATTTAAGTAGCTCATGGTGGATAAGTCCTGGTAGAGATAAGTTATCAGAAGCAAATTCTTCTGTAGGTGTAACATGGAGTGTAACACTGTCCTCTTTCCGATCGTCGTCGTTGTAACTGATTTTGTGCACTTGCCTAACATGTTATGGTTTCCGGAGCAGTAAGTTTTGCAGGCTGTGGCAAATAATTTGCTTAAGGATAGAAAGGCTGGATTCTGCATTTGGTACTTAGAATGCGAAAATGTATTGCTGTTTGGTGCCAGCTATGCATATTTGTGGAACACTGGTGGTAAAAGATCAGGATTTTTACTTTCTTGTTGCCGATTGTTTCGATTTTATTATCTGAACACTCTCTGTATTCGGGACAAGATGGAATGGTTTTGGTCTTCAGCTCATTAGGCTCCCACAAGTAACATTTTTAGATGATTGAATCGACATGTTCCGTGCCCATCATCCATAAATTAATTGGATTACATATAAATGCTTTATCGAGTTTGTGGGCATGGTCAGTGTCAAGTCCGTGAGAGTTTTCTGTTAGCTTAAGGTATCCAGTCACTTTATGTTGTTGTATTTGCTTTCTAAGATGATTCCGCATCGGAAAGAGAGTGAATGGATTAGGAATCTCCAGTGTTCTACATGTTTATGGTTTTTGTTTAGACAGATGAAAAGCAGATGAGACGATATTCACCAATTCTGGAAGGCGCTTTATTGTCGAGTGGTGATGGATTGGCATCGGACGAGTGGACAGCTGTTCCTGACATTTGGAGGTTCTCTGCTGAGAAGTATGGAGATAGAATTGCCCTGGTTGATCCTTATCACAACCCACCTTCAAACATTACTTATAGTCAGGTAACAAAAAGGGGAACAATTAAGTTGTTTGCTGAGAAATGGGAACTCTAGTAATGACGCTTCTTGAGTATAAAAATCTCCTCCCTAGAAACATTGCCCACCTGGCTCCGGCCATCGTTTCCTTCTTCAGTTGTTTGGCGTTTATTGTACTACTGCATTTATTAGTTCTTTACATCTTTTCAAATATGCTTTCTGGATTTGCTCAGCACTTTGTAGAGTTCTTTACTGGGAAAATGTAAAGGGATAGACTATGTATTTTGTGGTTTGTCTTGATTTTTCTTCTCTCTTTTTCCCTTTATATGATAGAAAGGGAAAATCATGACCTTCATCTCACTGAAGACTTGATAGTTGATACTAAGTAATGCTCAATAGCATAAAGATCCTTATATTCGTCCCCACTTAATGGGATAAAGTTTGCTTCTTGTCCTTGTGATTTTTGTCTACATTCATGGTATCTGTTATTTTTCTCTCGTATTCCTTTTATCTTCATCTTTTATGCTCAATTGTTTGTCAAGCAAGCTAACTCCAGAACTTGTCCTATAGATATCCTAGTTCACAGAGAGAACTTGGATATATAGACTTCAAACTATAAAAAACTTGTTTATTCAAAGTGTGATAAGGTCAGTCATCTCATTCTGCATTGAATGCTCATATATGATTTGTATTAGTAGGCGGAAAGCCTTTCTGCAGTAAGTGAATGTGGCGGTGCAGTGAATTAGCGCTCTTGATCATGTTCTATATCATTCAAGTTGTTCCACCTTATTATTTATGACGATCAAAACCTAGACATGAATACCACCTCAATGGTGTTGCTTATTGCTGGCTGAGAAACAAGTCATTGGTTTTATTTCCTGATGCAGCTGGAGCAAGAAATCTTGAATTTCTCTGAAGGTTTAAGAGTCATTGGAGTCAAACCAGATGAAAAACTAGCACTCTACGCTGATAATTCGTGCCGCTGGCTTATTGCCGATCAAGGCATGTAATATAGCAACCTTTCCCCAATTATTTGTCGAGGAAACATACTCTTACATGTAGTCTTTCCTCTCTATTCTTTTTCTTTTGGCCAGGTCTTTTCCTCCCTACTCATTTCTGATTATATGCTTAATCGTATCTTCAATTCATCTATGATCCCTTTTTCTTTTTTCAGTTAGATTTATTGACTATTAATTTGCTATGTATGTGACATTATTTTGGGGCTTATTCTTCAGTTCAGCTGCAGTAGTCTCCCTTTTCAAGTTAGATTCATCTACAAATTCTTTGGTATGTTTGACATTATTTTAAGGCTTGACCTAGAAGTTCCTTTTTCTTTTCATGTATGCAGAATTGAGTGAACTGATGAAGAAGCGATAAATGATGTGTGAAGTGCTCCTTAGTCCTCACTTGTAAATGAGAAAATCTGTTTCTTGTGCTGTTAGATTGTTTTGTTTGGTGGCTGAATATTTACATTTCAGATATATCCATTCAGTGCTCCTCTTACTTCATATTGAACATCTCTTATTCAATTTGTAAATCATTCTATTTCTTTCAGACTGATGGTTGATGTTTTGGGACTGTCTTCAATTCTGTGATCCTTTAGTAATTACTTTGTTTCCAGTCAGTAGCTAAAGCCTGTTCCCTGCAACTTCTCTTGTAGTTTGTCCTGTAGAATATTTCTTGGTGTACAGCATCGAATTTTGGCTTGATGCGGTGTAATGCTGTTATTTCTTGACACCCACAATGGAAGGGATTTAATTTTTTGCCTTACGATTTTATTGCGAAAACCAAACTTCTTTCAGAAAACCACCAGTATTTAGGATGGTCATCCATCAGACGGAACTAACTATCTTCATACATGCCTCTTTGGCCTGGTCATAAGGTCAATACAAGAAGTGAAGGCTACATTAACGTTTGGAAGTAATCAATATAAATTTTATTTCCGTAGTGGGTCTGCCAAATGATTCTTAGGTCACCCTTTTCTTCTAGTTATACATGCTTTCTGGTTACAGCTCAACCTTTTCTGATTTCTGTGACATCTATCAAAGAGAGTTTTCTGCTCACAGACAACTTCTTATTTTTGTATTTACATATTTTTGGGAGCTCCGACTTTCCATCTTTCAGCATTCTTGTTTGGCTTTTTTTTTTTGGCACTTTTATTTTGCATAAGGAGACTTGTAAATTGATATGAACTTAATTTAATCCAACTCTTCCTAGAGCAAGGATTGATTGCTTTTTGGCTAGGGGTCAACTATTGTTTTTAAAGGGGATAGGAACCTAGGTACTGTGAGACAAAGAAGATAGCTTTTCTTCTTATATTGCGAGGAATTTGAATCTTAAATGCATTTCTTCCTTCATTAGCAAATACCTTTCTGCGAAAATGCTTCTTCGACCATTTAAGATGAAGGTGTCTCTTCATTAATAGTAATGTAACATAGTGCTTTGTGGCTAGATGCGGATGCCATGTATGATAGCTTCTTCAAGTTAGGACTCATGTGTGTTTTCTTTTTTCTTGGGTTGCAAGCTTGCAACTATAGATTTTTAGCTAACGGTCATTTGCTTTTCCATTTCTTTTCTGTGCCACGTGTATACTTGTCATGTTTTACTATGAATTCTCTTGTGAAGCTGTGCGAGCTGTGCCAGAGTCGTTGCTTGATGCCTTGCGCAATCTTCCATGTATCTCATTATTTGTCAGTCCGTCAAATAATGGCCCTTCTTTCTCCTGTAAAAAGACTTTTCATGAGTACATAGTGTGTTAACAGGATTTATTGGCATCTGATGCATTTTGACTTTTTGTATAGTTATCTGATCAATTTAATTTATGATATTTTCTCTCATGCATTGATCTTCGAATTGAGCTCATTGGGGACGACATGTTTAAATAGGTATAATGGCCACTGGAGCTATTAATGTGGTTAGGGGATCAAGGTCATCTGTCGAAGAACTATTGCAAATATACCAGCATTCTGAAAGGTCCAGATAATTTTTTGTCCTTGATATTAATATCCTCCATTGAAATAAAAGTCTTAATAACCTGTTATATACATGTTACTTCTCTTGCTATATACTCAGTCAACTTAACAGATCCTCCATTAGTTAGTGTGCTTATTTCTTCATCTTTTACTGCAGTGCAAGACCATAACATAACTTTTCAATGATGTAAGTACTGGCAAGGTCCAGTTCCCTCCTGGGTAATAATCGATTCAGTTGGACATAGCTAACCTTTTTTTAAGACGATGCAAACTTTTTAACTGGATAAGCATTTAGCAAACTTTTGCTTCTTATTTCATTCTATCTCTGGCATACACCATCATTGGAAATTGAGCCATTATGGGCATATTTCATTGCCAGTGATAGATGATAATCTACAATTTTCCAGACCAACTTTCGGGTTTTGGGAATGCTTGTTGCTAAGTGTCTGGTTTCAACTTCAGATGTGATTTTTGTCTTTTTGTCTGTTCCCTTTTAAACTTGACGGAATCAAGGAGCACTATTAATTCCTTTTTCAATCCATCACAGTGTTGCCCTTGCTGTTGATAGTCCTGAATTATACAATCGGATTGCGGAAGTCTTCTGTGATAAGGCCTCTATGAGATTTGTTATTCTACTATGGGGGGATAAAGCATCCCTTTCCATTAGAGGAACTGAGGAGATACCCGTCTTTAGCTACAATGAAATCATACATTTGGGACAAGACAGTCGTAAATATCTGCTTTCATCCAATGATACCTGTAAGTTGCCGATATGTCTTAAGTGAAACCAGTGCTTCTGGTTTATCACACAAGTTTATTTTGGCTACTTCAAGAATTCCTTTTTTTATGTCTTGGCGGAGACAAATCATTTGATGAAGATGGTTACGTTTACATATAAGGGAGCAGATATTTCAGAATCAAATGTACCCATTCTGCTTGGCTCTTCCTGTAATTCCAGTTAGTTACATCAGAGATCCCGAAGCAAATAAATTAAGCACACTTGACTAGACGTTGTACCATCTGTTAGAGACTCGTGTTTAAAAGTGGACTAGAAGCATTCAGCTTTGAACTTTTGACATTGTTCCTTCTTATCATGTACCAGACATGCATCTCTAGAAATCTTTTCATTCGATCTGTCAGCTGAACAACTGATTAATTCAGTAGAAGACTGTTGATGAAGATTTTGATTAATGTAGGTGGAAAATGTTTAAAAAAAAACTAGGATAAAAGAATTTATGCTATAGTTTGGAGCAAGGGTTAGTAGTACTAAGTGAGCAAGGCAAAATTTCAACTAGTTATCTATCTTAAATTTTCCTGTGTACTACACACTATTTCCATAGAGAGATTCTTGTGTTTTGCATGGCTCTTGCAACAAGCTATTCAACTGTGAAGGGATATATAGTTAATTAGAGTTAAACATCACAAAATAACCTAACTTATACGCTTTTAACCTTGTTTGTAATTCTGACCCCAAAAGAAAAACCTTGTTTGTAATTATCTTGAAAAGGTTATAAGGAAGTTGTTGACGAGGTAATCCAATTGCAGGGAATCCCCATGACTATGAACTCATCAGCTCTGATGATGTTGCTACGCTTATGTATACAAGCGGCACCACCGGTAATCCAAAGGGCGTCATGCTGACACATCGAAATTTCTTACATCAGGTTTTATATGTTTCTCTTTGAGGCTTAAGGTTTTCCGTTTTAGCAGTAGGCACTGATAACTCAATAACTTGATCTTAATTCTAGTATTTTGGTAAGTTTTCCAACTGCCACAGTTTTTTTCTTGGAATTTATATGGTTCTGTTGAATGTTTATTTGGTACCTTTGCTTTGACTTGCTTATCATTTGTGACTAGAAGAAATAATATCTATATGTATACATATCATATGGTGCACTGTAGGTTTTGCTTTAACCGACAAGTGGATTGCTAGGAGATATATATAACTGGCATTTTGCATAGTTTGGTATATTTTCTTGCATGGGGTTTCAATACGGTGTAGAAAAAATATGACCGCAGCACATGATGTACACCCTAGCCAGAAGCTGAACATATTGATGAAATTTCACTTGGCATTTCCAATGCACCAACTCCTAAAGTTTACGATAAGTTCAATCTTGACTTTTAATATCAGAAGATTCAGGGGTAAGTGTATGTCTACGTCTGTCAATAGCTGTATTGTGGCACAAAACGACCTGTAAGAGAAAGGCCTATTCCACAACTGCAGTTGGTCTTCAGTAATTCTGGCTGACGCGGAAACTGAAAGTGATTGTTCTTTTTCTAGACTTCTAATCCTAGTCGTGAATTTTCTCATTCTGTTCATACTATGCCAATGCAACTAATTTTTCTCTCAATTTATTTTGTTGATTACCTAAGAGCACTCGTTGTTATATGGAGAATGTGATTCCATGACAAGATTGTCAAGCTGGTGCATGTGTTTTGTTTGCTGTTACTGAAAGTTTTAAGCAATGTTTCCTACTGAAGAATATCATGATGTCTAAGTTATTTTTTCCCTTTTTCTTTTCCGTTTGAAGACACACTTCTCCTTCTGAATCCTGTTGATGGCTTCGCATGATGAGAAGCAGCACATCACTTCTTAAGCTAATTGTTTTTCAGATAAAGAACTTGTGGGATATTGTACCTGCTGTACCTGGGGATAGATTTCTGAGTATCCTTCCACCATGGCATGCCTATGAACGTGCCTGTGAATACTTCATTTTCACTCATGGAGTTGAGCAAGTGTACACAACCGTGAGGTGCCTGAAGGTAGTATCGGGTAGATTGTAGAGGTTTCTGCTTCCATAACTTATAAGCTTTCTGCATGACTTAATAGATATTTTGTGATCCTTTGTTTTGCTAATTGATTCTATATGGTGTTGGGCGATTACACCAAACTGTATTTACTTAAATGCTGTGGCTGAGGGCATTCATTTTGTAAATTACAGTCTTCATTCCAGTATATGAATCTTCTTATCTCATCTTTTATTGTACACATTATAGGAGGACTTGCAACAATACCAACCACATTACCTTATCTCCGTCCCTTTAGTATATGAGACACTCTACAGGTACCTCTTCCAGTCATTGAAATAATTATGTAGTGCTGCATCATAATATGGAGATGTCTTTTGGCATGCTATTGGTTACACTATATGGAATGTTACTCCATAGAAGAGTGAGTATATAGTATTCTGTATAGCTTTACAATATTTCGATGAAAGTCTAGTGATGGAGAGCTTTCACCAACCAAAATAATCATGGACTCTTTCTACGTGTTTTCCTTGAACCTATTGGCCATCTAGAGCACAAGAAGCCGGTGTACATTGTTGACCTACTTGACTTAGCCCTTAGAGTGAATCGTTTGTTTCACTGATAACTTCATTATAAAGGAAAATATTTTCCATGCTAATCATTTTCAAGTTTTCATTTGTTTGGTGGTTTAGGGAAAGTGATTTCCTTCTTGTCAAAAAAGAAAGTCGTTTCTTCCAAACTAAGATTGTTGTTTTCGGTTCATGAAAAATAATTTCCGTAGATTGATTAGTTTTCCATCATCTAAACATCAGAAAGTCAGAAAACAATTTTTTGGAAACAGTTTTCCTTCAAATAAACAGACCCTAAGATCAATTTCATTACATTTTATTATTCTGCAAAACTTATACCAGAATGGGATCTACTTTAGTCAATGTTTCTTTTTTACTAAAGAAAAGACCTGTTGTTGCATTGAGTAATCTCAAATTTTTTTGTTGCTGAAGTGGGATTCAGAAACAGTTATCCACAGGCTCCGCAGCTCGCAAGCTTATAGCATTCACTTTCATCAAGATCAGTATGGCATTTATGGATTTCAAGAGGATATATGAGGTTAATTCTTGATCACAGCTTACGAAGTATCTATGTCTATCATCTAAGACTAGATAATAGTAATTTGTAGGTTCCACATTAAAGAGTTGTATTGACCATTTCATGGTTGGGATCCATTTGTCTATGTTAAAGCTAATTGAATAAAGATCTCATTAAGCATGAAAATATACAGCTTTCTAGTATGTCAATTTTTCTTTTTTAAGACCAGTGTCTGAAATTGTTACTCTTTCTACATAGGTTCAGTCTTCATAATTATTTGCTAGTTAGTGTTATTTATTTTGCGAATAAGACCATCTTCATGGCATTCAGCATTACAAACTTATGTTTTTACAATACTGGTGAAACCTTCCTTCACGTGCTGCCTGACCCTGCCCTTAGGTGCAATTCAGAGTTCTACTACTAACAATATATTATGTCAACTTACTTCATAAGCAAGTATCATGATCTATATGTACAACAAATAACAACAGTCTGTACAAAGCCTTTCCTGAATAAGAAGGGTTGATTGTTTGTATACTCTTAAGCAACTGCACCTACTCTGTTCTATATATAGTTGAATGATTACATTTTGAGGAAACACGATCTAAATAATCACAATATAAACTTGGACTGAGAAGATCTGCACTTGAGTTATTATATAAGCTGTATTTTTTCACAGGGAAAATATCTGACGAGGGATCAGAAGGAACCCTTATATCTTGTTTCAATGTTGGATTGTCTATTGGCAAGAATCTTTGCTGCTATCTTGTGGCCCCTACACATGTTAGCAAGGAAGATAGTTTACAGTAAGATTCATTCAGCCATTGGAATATCAAAGGTACTTGTCTTCTGATCTGCTATGTGGCATTAAGAGCAGTGGTCGTTGAGATCACCCTTGTGAGCTGAGTTTATTTTTATTAGCAGACTGCATAGGGGTACAGTAACTGAACGATGATTAGGTCAGAAAGTGAGGATGAAAATGCGGCGTTCCTTTTCTGCTCTGCAATTAGCATAATTGATGTTCTTCCTTGCACAAGGTCTTTTCCTCTCAAGTTCCACCCAAACATTACTGTTTGGAGTTGGCAGACAGTTCTATATTTTTCAATTCCATCAATTTTGGTGACACAAAGCAAGTCAAACAAATTTTTCCTCTCCCTTAGGAACTAAATCTGAGATTTGTTGTACTTCCAGATGATTGTCATTAACTTAGATTTATGTTGTCTTCTTAGTTGTTAATAAGTAAGCTATCTTTCGTTATTAAGCAACAAAAAGGTATATTATCCTTCCTATTACAGCAACAAACATTTATGTTTTTGACAGAGAATCTTTGTCTTCGAAAAATGCAGGCTGGCATCAGTGGAGGTGGAAGTTTGCCTACATTTATTGATAAGTTCTTTGAGGTTGGACTCTTATTTACTTAAGACACGTAAGAATGTTGGTGTTCCTTGTAACAGTTGAGATGTCTGCTGCAGGCCATTGGTGTAACTGTACAGAACGGGTATGGTCTAACAGAATGTTCTCCTGTTACTGCTGCTCGAAGACCTACCTGCAATGTAAGAGCAAAAGCTACTCAAAAGTAGATTTTACAGCTATACTTACCGTTTAGTTAGATTAATGTGGGGCTATCAAGAAGGAAACAAATTCGATAACTATGAAGTTTGCTGTTGCATGGCCATTATCCATTAATTCAGTTACCCATGTCACTTTTAGTAAAAAAAAATTTTTTTTGAAATTGCTTTGCATGATCAATTTTTGTGCTTGTGTCTCATCTTTGTCCACACTTAGAGAAGGAACTTGGAAAAAACAGATATAATGGAAATAAAAGAAGGTTTGGTGGTATAATCATACCGCTCATCACCGTTAAATTATCCAATTATTAAAATCAAAGCATCCATGACTTGATCTGATTATGTAGAGATTCTTTTACATAGAGTTCAATTATCATTCTTACCTTATATATTGCTGATGCTTTGACTTTCTAGTTGCTGGATGAGTTTTCTCCCTTAGGTCAACTGCCACTCTGTTTCTCTTTGCTGAGAATACTCTCTCTCTCTCTCTCTCTCTCTCTCTCTCTCTCTCTCGCAGATTCCATAGCTACTGCTTTTCGCTTATTATTATCATGAGTTCATCTAGAGAGACATTATATAATTGTGTTATCCATTTGATTTCTGAAGGTTCTTGGTTCAATTGGGCATCCCATTCGATACACAGAATTCAAAATTGTGCATCCTGAAACGGATGAGGTTCTTCCCCCAGGCACAAAGGGCATTGTCAAAGTGAGGGGTCCCCAAGTGATGAACGGTTATTACAAGGTAAGAACCCCATTTGTCATGATACTGGAGGTCATCTAGAAGCCTGGTGCTGTTTGCCAGGTCCCACAAGTCTCATAATCATATGGAGGGTATAATCTTACTCCATACAAGTTAGGCAAAGAGCCATGCTTTTAGTTTGAGTGTTGTCCTTCACGTTTTGATCCTTGATGGCCACTGTTTAGTACTGGTTTGGAGAAATAGGTCTAGTATAGGCATTTTTCCTCATAAAAGTGATTTTATATTGGGGAACCTGGTGATGTCTTTGTTTTGATAAATTTACAGCTGCTCAATGAGGGTAAGTTCTGTCATAGTTCTATTTACAAACTCTGATTCGCTAGTTCTCTAAAATGAGTCATTCACGTGGCCATATTTTTCATGCCAAGTTTTGATTGCCATAACTTATTGAAACTAGCGGAAGACCATAAGATAAACACATCTACTTCAATAAATATTTTGGTTTATGAATTATGGAATTTCTTAGTAATTTCGCTTTGGCGTGATGTTTATCTAGTAGACGATTTTGTATTATCTTTTTTCGGTCAACATTGATAACTTCGATACTTTTCATGACATGTTACGTATATACTTAACAAATTGCTAGTATAAATAATTTTCCAAGGCTTAAGTTAGTAGCAGTGAACTTTGAGATCATTTCGATCTTTTTATTTATTTATTTATGTAAGTGGTTTCATAATTAACTAACGCGTGCGTGTGCACACACGTATATAGCGTCAATTTGGTTAACCACCATTTATGCATGGTGAAGACTTCTATTTGTTAGCTTTCTTTGATAACTACTGTGAGGGACTTTAGGAAAAATAGAAATCTGATTCTTAGTTTACCAATCTTTTTCGCTGAGTGGTTACCGAATCTAAATTTACCACGGGACATAATCATGCACATGAATTAGAAATGATGTGCACGATCTTTATTAGAATTAATGATGTACATGCGATATTCTCTTAATTTTTGTACAATAGGTGTACTTTGAATAGGAGGATTCAGTTATGGCGGCTATGATAATAATCCAAGTTACTTAGATTCATACATTATACTTTACAAAATAACTATTGAATTGTTTTTTATATATAACCAGTAGAGTTAGTGTGATACAGTCAATTTATTTTGGTGAATTAAATGTAAGTGGTAGCTGAATGGACTTCGTGGTGGTGTGACAAGTGGCTCAAGCACAAGCCTCCATTATACTGACTTTTCTATCATTATAATGGATGGTTTTAACCGAATCTGTTATGTTAATGTTGGATCAGAATCCATCAGCTACAAGTCAGGTTTTGGATGCAAGCGGCTGGTTCAACTCAGGTGACGTTGGTTGGATGGCACCTCACCATTCTTCAGGGCGAAGCTGTAACTCTGGAGGTGTGATTGTTCTCGAAGGCCGTGCTAAGGACACGATTGTCCTTTCAACAGGTATCATACCAAATCATCTTTCCTGCAATTAAAATTATACGAGGGTTCTTTTGACTCGTGTCTAGTACATCGACGGTAATTTCATGAACATGCATACTAACACGTACTTTACATGATAGGCTGCACTGTTGCATGAATAACCTGTCGATTATAAACAATGTTTATATTTGTGGCCGTCTGACACAAATTGGCTTTGTAACTTGTGATCCTTAAGATGATTGCAACCAATGTCTAAATTCTCCATAATGCCATATCAAGGTTTTGGCTTACAAATTGATTGGTCAACAACAAACATGCTGTTTCTGGTACCTGTCTTATGCTAATCAAAGTATTTCTGGAATATAGGTGAAAATGTTGAACCTGCAGAGCTTGAAGAAGCTGCAATGAGGAGTAGCCTGATACAACAGATAGTTGTTATTGGGCAGGTGAACAAGGAGACTATATGCTGAAGTGTTTTTTTCCCTCTGAATTCTGCTATTTCAGTGACACACTCAGTTGTGGCCTCCTTATGCTATCCACTTGCTGTATGACATTGACCGTTAAATGCAGAATCAACGGCGTCTAGGAGCTATAATTGTGCCGAACAAAGAAGAGGCCCTGCTGGCTGCTAAAAGGATGTCAATTGTAGATGCTAATGCTGTGGAACTTAGTAAAGAAAAAATGTCAAGTCTGTTGTATGAAGAATTGAGAACCTGGTAATGTCTTCATTTCTATGAATTTGGTTTTAGGTTACTGATTTGCTTTAAGCACGTGAACTTTGCTGACTTGCCTAAAGCACATTAACTTTCAACGAGTCCTTTGCTCTTTCTGTAAAAACAATTTCAGCTTAATATCATTTGATATCACCTGAATTTCAGCTGGAAATTATCTTCTCTTACATCGACTTGATTCCTTAGAGAACCTCCAACACTAACCTCTTAAATCCCCTGAAAAGGGGAGGAACGTTGCATATTTTTTTTTTCCAATGCAACAAAGTTAAATGGTGTCTATTTTTCATTGATAAAAGGGTTGTTAACATGGCATTTGTATTTGTATCATGTTTATATTGTCATGTTCAATCATCCCGACGATTTGCTTTCTGTCCATACAATGCATACAGCTTTGGTTGCTGGTTGGTTCAGTTTGATGGCTATATATGAATTATAGGTCACTTCATTTTAATTATGCTGGAATAGAGTAGGTTTTGATGATTAGAAAATATATTACTTTCTCCTGCATCTGGAAGCAATTGCATTTTTCACCAGTCTGTCAATCGTGGAGGACGGTTCCGTGAAAGTATCTAATCTTGCTTTGGATGAATTGTGCACCATATCTGCATTCTTAACCGGTGTGAATCCTACGAAAGAATTACTTTAGACAGCACATATGTTTATGCAGGACCTCAGAGTGCACATTCCAAATTGGGCCAATGATCATCGTGGATGAGCCGTTTACGGTATGTCGTTGAGCTCCCGGAACTTTTCGAGCAGTTTTGTCATTGTGGCATGGACTTCAGCTGAACTCTCTCATTGCAGATCGATGGTGGTCTAATGACTCCAACAATGAAAATCCGGAGGGACAGGGTCGTAGACCTTTACAAAGATCAGATCTCGAAGCTGTACAGCTGATGCATGTTTTAATTGAGTAGATCCATTCAATTCTGTGCTGCATCTATCGACCATTCAGCATGGAATGTGGAAGGTTTACAGGTTTACCACAGGAACGTCAGGAACATCCGCTCCCTTGTTTCCGCGAGCTCATGTAAGTTAATAATTCATGAATCAAGAAGCTGCTCTGGACATGTGTAAAAGCGAGCTCATCCAGATTGTGATACATAATTGACCACAGATGGCCCCGAGTGTAAAGCAACTTTTGGTCAGAATGACCCACAGATATCGATGATGGACACAGAATGAATGAATTGTTCTCTCTTCTATATGCATACCGGTTTTGAGTGCTTTCTTCATAAATCCGTGACTCTTTCTTTCTATGCATCGAACTAAAGTAATCGGATGTAGGGTTTCTCCATATATGAAAGCAATAAGCATTTTTATTTATTATATGATCAGATTTTTATCTACCTCTTCTTTCTATTCTCTACATCGGACACACGTAGACATCCTAATGTCGTCGGCGGAAATGAAAGAAGTGTTAAGTCAACCGAGTAGTGGTCAATGACTTCTCATGAAAAAGGGCTATTGAGTCCCGCCAGCTGATGCTGGATTGGATATGCTGATTTCTCGCGTCGCCAAATCAAACGGGCCGAATTCTCTCGCAATAGGTATGCTTTGACCAATTCCAAGGGTCTTTCCCTAGGACAGTACCGTAGGTTAAATCAACCGTGAATCAAAGGGTAAGTTGTGAGGCTTAAAGAAGAAAACGATTCCATGCGTCACTAGATCTACAAATCAAGAACCTTCAAGGGTGAATAGAATGTCCTTGCCCCCTCCTTCAGGCTTCATGTTGAGGTTGGACTTCTCTGATTTGGAAGGTTTTTAGAAGTGGCACTTTCACACATCGCATGATGCCATGATACATCCTGGATTCTTTGACTCTGCACGTCCCCCTCCCTCTCTCCTTTTCTTTTAGTTTCCAAGCATTTACCATTGCTTTTACACGGCATTATCCGCGCGATGGACTTAGGTCTATGCAGGTGCTCATGCAACATAACTAATGTGATTCCGATATCTCAGGATGCTCTGGATATTCAAAATCTACAAGAGGAGAATTTAGAGTTGTTCTACAGTCAGGTGATCACATTGAGTTTGTATTTGCCATTCCCATATACTGGCTTTGAGGTCAGTTGCAGAAGTTATCGTCAGCCATTGTCACGACATTAATGAAACTGCTACATGTCCGAGAGTCAATAAGAGTGGCTTAAGTTTTGTAAAACTTCTCATCAGAAAAGATATTATCTACGTTCAGTCGTTTTGTGGATCTTGGTTTACTGCAGAAATATTGAGATTGATATGTTGGGGAATTTCATGATAATAATGTACCTACCGGCGATTAATTTTGATGATGGTGGCAGTAAAGTAGTTGCCTCCTAAAACTATTCACCTGATAGTCTTTTTTGATCCTCCATCATTGCAGTTCACGAAAACTGCCGTCTGCTAAGTGCTAAGAGTATAATGGATATAACCTTTGCTGATTTTCCTCCGGGAGTTCGTGTGGAAGTAGATGGTGCTGACTACTGAGATAGAGGTGAGTACCGGGATAATTTTGTGTATCTTTTGTCATGGAGCTAATGCCCCTATTTCTTAGATCAAAAGTTGTGACACTGGCACTCTACAAGGGATTAGGAGAGCAATGTGGTTTGAAGCACCAAACAAGTCTCTTGAGAAAAGAAAACCATGTTTTAAAACCTTAGCAGGCTCAAAAGGGATGATGCATCATGCATCATGCATTCTGCACTTATATCAAATCATGCGTTGCTTGCAACTTGCAAGCATGACTTGTGTGATGGTGCTGAGAAATGGGTTACTGGCTGGTCGTCCCTTTGTATCCTTCTTTCCCCTGCATAACCTACAAGACTTCAAAAGTAGGAGGCACAAACAAAATAAGGTTTGTTGCGAGGAACAAAGCGCATTTGTCCCATGAAATATCACGCTCTTTGTGGGCATGGAAAGAGAGCGGCTACCTTAAGCAATAGTTTCTTTGATCATGGTTCAAGCCCTCATTTGACTTCCGGACAGCCACCAGATGACTGCTAATTGTTTTCTGGCATGCCTGTGGAAACATAATATATTGCTCCCCACCAATTAAAGGACCTGTAATGCCTCATCTTTCTTAAAGTACTCTCAAGGAGGGCAGACTAATTTTACTGAAGATTGGAAAAAGAATATATTTTTGCCCCTGTTTTCCAAAGAAGTGGGGTATATACTTTGCTGTACTTTCATGGAGCTAGATGTGGTGTACATGTTCTCACTTGTCAGGGTCTGTCCAAAATGATTATGGAGATGATTCCCAACTCATTTCACAAAGCACTTCAATTACTTATGATTCTTGTTAGTTTTGAGTATGAATACAATTTGGGTTGAACCACCCGCCTGGGTGGCGCTGCTGGAAAGGGCACTCTTCCTCTCGCAAAAGGTTGGGTGTTCGAATCCCGGGCGCCGCAGGGTGACTTAACCGGTGCACGTGTGTGGTGGCTAGCACGTGTCGCCCCCAGGGTTTACCTCCCGGCTGTCGGCCGTGCGGGGGTTCCCTTGGTTACAAAAAAAAAAAAAATACAATTTGGGTTGAATTGACTCCTTCAAAAAACTTGTTTAAGAGATCATAACAGCCATCGCACCCAACTTCCCATCCTTGCATTAGAATTATGAAAGAAAAAGCAACTACATAAAGTTATTGCAGCCCAGCAAAATGAACTTTCAACTACACAGACACACCAATAGTCTCTGAAGACACTGGCTTTCCTCAAAGCACTTGGCTTCGAGTTATAGCATTGGCAAGATCACCAATTTTCTTCTTTCACTGCGCTCATTCATTGCTATATACAAGTAGAAACATCAAACTTGGGTGATTGAGACAGGTTAACACACAAATAGACTCCTTTAATATTACTCGAAAATGTTAAAAACGGATAAATAGCAAGCTTTGATAGAGAAGGGAGGAACTATGAGAGACTTATTCGAGCCAAAGAAGAGTTCGATGCCAAATTGGCAGCTGAATCCGACACGGTGCCCTCGGGGGCGGGGAACGGACAGCGGCAGAACAGCAAGAATTGGCACCGAGTAAAATGAAACATTAAGATTTTGGAGTGCAGTAGTGGCCATGTGAGTGAGAGTGGAGAGAGCATGTGCATAAATCGGGTTGATGCCATTATTAATTCCCGGCGATTGCCCACCTTTGCCCTCTCATTTGGTTGCTCCAACTTACCTGGAGGTGGACTCACTTTAAAACTCTCTCAAGTCTCGTTTCTTAAAGGAAGAACAAGTTAGCCCCCTCGTTATGCAAAATTCAACATACTCTCCATTCTATACATCAACTAGGGAAAATGACCATATTTGATGTGTAAAATCTAGGGAAAATGACAGAAACAGTTCTTGAACTTTGGTCCAGTGTGCAATATAGTCCTTGAACTTTTAATTTGTTCAATATGGTACATAAACTTTAACCTAATGTACAATGTGGTCCTTGAATTTTTAATATATTCGATATCATTCACGAATTTTTGGTACATGTCCAATTTAGTTCATAAAGTGTATAAAAGTGTTCGATGTAATCCTTCTATTAATTCAAGTTCAGGGACTAAGTTCAGAGACTGTATTAAACATTCATATAGTTCGGGGAGTAAATTGAACATGTACCCAAGTTCAGGGAGCACATTAAACAAATTAAAGTTTAGGGACCACAGTTAAAGTTTCGAGACTGTATTGAATAAATTAAAAATTCAGAGACCATGTTGCCAAAGTTCAGGGACTGTTTGTATCATTATCCGTAGGATCTAACAAGGAGAAGAACAAATTTTCTTCGGCCAGAACTTAGGGAGGTGATTTTGTCATAACTTTCGTATAACGCTCATTTGAGTGCCAAAACATTTTTGTAGGAAAATATTTGCCAAATCATTTATTTTCCACAAAACAAACGGAGCTTAATTAAGAGTGGATTTGTCACGAATTTAATAGTTTGAAATTTTTTGTGCTATGAAAATCAGTTTGGCGTAAATGTGATGTGGGTGTACCAATTGAGGACTTCTGTGGCACGAAATTAGTTCAGGGTATATGTAGCGTGGGTGTGCTAGTTTAGGGCTTTTTGTTGTATTAATTCTTAAATTTTCGGGCAATATTTTGTTGAATTTTTTTTTTTTTGCAAATCATTTTTGCTGACAAGCAGAGTTGGGGACGGTTATAATGTGATTTGGAAACTAGGGTTAACAAAGTCAACAGCAGAGTTGGGGACGGTTTTGGAATTCATGTTATGGACTTTAATTTTTTTTGCACTTGACCATTATTCAATGTGATTTGGAAAGTTGGGCTAATAAAATTAGAAGAAAATAAAAGGGAGAGGATTGGTTGTCTTGGCTTAATATAATAGATAGAGATCGATAGGATCTACACATTGACTTTCCCAAAAGTTTTTTGTTGAACAAATTAAAGTTTAGGGACCACAGTTAAAATTTCAAGACTGTATTGAATAAATTAAAAATTCAGAGACCATGTTGCTAAAGTTCAAGGACTGTTTGTATCATTATCCGTAGGATCTAACAAGAAGAAGAACAAATTCTCTTTGGCCAGAACTTAGGGAGGTGATTTTGTCATAACTTTCGTATAACACTCATTTGAGTGCAAAAACATTTTTTTAGGAAAATATTTGCCAAACCATTCATTTTCCGCAAAACAAACGGAGCTTAATTAAGAGTAGATTTGTCAGGAATTTAATAGTTTGGAAGTTTTTGTGCTACGAAAATCAGTTTGGCGTAAATGTGGTGTGGGTGTACCAATTGAGGATTTCCATGGTATGAAATTAGTTCAGGGTATATGTGGCGCGAGTGTACTAGTTTAGGGTTTTTTGTTATATTAATTCTTAAATTTTCGGGCAATATGTTGTTGATTTTTTGTTTTTGCAAATAAATTTTGCTGATAAGCAGAGTTGGGGATGGTTATAATGTGATTTGGAAACTTGGGTTAACAAAGTCAACAGCAGAGTTGGAGACGGTTTTGGAATTCATGTTTTGGATTTTAATTCGTTTTTCACTTGACCATTATTCAATGAGATTTGGAAACTTGCATTTTTTAATGTGATTTGGAAACTTGGGTTAACAAAGTCAACAGCAGAGTTGGGGACGGTTTTGGAATTCATGTTTTGGATTTTAATTTTTTTTTGCACTTGACTATTATTCAATGTGATTTGGAAAGTTGGGTTAATAAAATTAGAAGAAAATAAAAGGGAGAGGATTGGTTGTCTTGGCTTAATATAATAGATACAGATCGA